TGCTTGTGTTCCCTCTCTCGCTGTGTCTGTCTCTGTCAAATAAATAAATAAAAAAAAAATCTAAAAAAATAAAAAATATTTCTTGCAGGGCAGGCTTAGTGGTCACATATTCTTTCAACTTCTGCCAGTCGTGGAAGCTCTGCATCTCTCCATCCATTCTAAATGAAAGCCTTGCCAGATAAAGTATTCTTGGCTGCATGTTCTTCTCATTTAGTACCCTGAATATGTCTTGCCAGGCCTTTCTGGCTGGCCAGGTCTCTGTGGATAGGTCTGACATTATTCTGATGTTCCTCCCTCTGTATGTAAGGAATCTCTTCCCCCTAACTGCCCTTAAGATGGTTTCCTTGGTTCTAAGATTTGCAAGTTTTACTATTACATGCTGGGGTGTTGGCCTGTTTTCCTTGATCTTGGGAGGGGTCCTCTCTGCCTCTAGGACTCGAAGGTTTGTTTCATTCCCCAGATTAGGAAGGTTCTCAGCTATGATTTGCTCAAATACATCTTCTAGTCCTCTCTCTCTCCACTCCCTCCAGGATTCCAATTATTCTGACATTGGAATGCCTCATGGTGTCACTTATTTCTCTGATTCTATTTTCATGGATTCTGAGTTGTTTTTCCCTGGCCTCCTCTTTTTCCTTTTTATCTATTATATTGTCTTCCAGGTCGCTTATTCTCTCTTCTGTCTCAGTTACCCTAGCTGTTAGATTATCTAGATTGGATTGGATCTCATTGACAGCATTTTTAAGTTCTGCCAATTCCCCTTTTATTTCTGCCCTTAGAGACTCTATGTTGCCATTAATTGATTTCTCCATTCTAGCCATTGTCTTCACAATTGCTAGCCTGAATTCTGTCTCTGACATCTTGGTTATATCTGCATCCATTTGTAAGTCTGCAGCATAAGTCATAATCTCTGAGTCTTTTCTGTTTTGCGGGCTCCTCCTCCTAGTCATTCTGTTGATAGGTGTTTGAGGGAATGTATAGAGTCCAAATTATTGAGCAGAACCCAAGCAAGATGCACCTGTTTTCTTGGGACCTTTGGGTTGCTGGCCTCTTGTTTTCCCAGCCTGTCTTCTGCGGGAGGGGCCTGCCGTGCTGTTACTCAGGCAACCCTGTTTGGGCAGAGTTGCCCTGCGCCCCTGTGGCGGGGGATGGGCTCACTGGGAATCAGTCTTTGGGGCTTTTGTTCTCTGGTGCCTTTCCCTGGCGGCTTTCCACGTCTCTTCCGTGAGTCAGAGCAGAAGAGACCATTTCCAACCCTCTGCCTCAGAGCAGAGAGACCGCAGTCTGTTCTTCAGTGAGCTCTCCAGGCCACACCGTCTCCGTTTCTGTCCGCGCTGCTATAAACTGCAGTGGCCTGGGTTGTTCGCCCCTCCGCAGCACTCCCAGTCCTGCCTGCAGGTGGGGGCACGTCTCTGCCCTTTGTGCTTCTAAAACTGCCACCCGCTCCCAGTTCGCGCGCGTTTGACTCCGCCACTCGGGGTTCCCACCCCGGGGGTTGCAGTTCACTGGCGGGACCCCGGCGCACAGGGTTTCTGTCTCGGAGGCTGCAGTTCGTGTGCGCGTGAGCGTCGCTCCGGGGTTCTGTCCGGGGGGCTGCAGTTCGTGTGTGTGCGACCCCGTTGCTCTGGTTTTCCACCCCGGGGGCTGCCCTAAAGTCCTTTCCCAATGCTACCGGTCTGCGAGTCTGTGCCGGTCTGCAGTGCGCGAGGCTGTCACTCACCAGCGGTGTAGGATCCCCACGGCCAGGCACCCTCCCGCCGCCGTTTATCCTCCTATATCTGCCTGCAGAATCACGGCTCTCTGCTTCGTACCTCAAAACCAACCGCCTGCGATATTCTGTTTGTAGAGATCCAGATCTTCTTACATCTCAGGCTGGTTTCGTGGGTGCTCAGAGTGGTCTGGTAGATATCCAGCTGAATTCCGGGGACCAGTTGAAATAGGGTCCCCTACTCCTCCGCCTTCTTTCCCCCTCTCCCCCGTCCATTCAATCTTCTGATGAAGGTTTGGATTTATTTTTCTTGACCTGTAATCTACAGATTTAATTACAAGCGAATCGTGTATCATCTTCTTCAGCCTTGCATGTGGCAGAGTGCTGTGTGTCATCTGCAGCAATAAAACCACAGGGGAATTTTCCTCTGCTTTGAACGGCAGCAAGGTTAGGCAAGGAAGCCCCATGCTTCCACTATCTCCAGGAAAAAGAAGAGGGAAATTTTGCCAGACCAAGCTTTTATCTCAACAGGAGTATAAGTATTCATTAGAAAGAGGGGTTTCTAATAGTGTTTTTTTTTTTTTTAAGATCTTATTTATTTGAGAGAGAGAGAGAGCACAAGCAGGGGGAGGGGCAGAGGGAGAAGGAGAAGCAGACTCCCTGCTGAACAGGGAGCCTGATGTGGGACTCGATCCCAGGACTCTGGGATCAAGACACCAGCAGAAGAGTGGAAGGCAGACACTTAACCAACTGATCCACCCAAGCACCCCTTCATTATTGTTTTAAAAGTGATTTTCTTCCTCACATCCAGTGAGGGAATGCATCATGCACTCAGGGACCTGGCATTTTGCTCCTTAAGCTTTATAAGCTATGCTAGCTGCATTTAAGGGGATCTTAACAACATTTCCTTATGTGTAAAATATTACATGATGTGGGAAATTAGGACTAGAGACACAGTTTTTGGCTTCACTTTTCTGGTCATACTGTAGAAATAGCAAAAGGCTGAGAAGAGAGGACATGGACTCTGTTCTTATATCTGTCACTAAAATACCACGTGACCTTGGGCAAGACCTTTAACCTCTATGAGCCACAGGTTTTATAGATGGGTGAAACTCAAGATTCCCAAGAATTCCAAAATGATGCTGCCGTTTGGAAGAGGTAAGCTTGTCCTTCGGATCATCTGCAGAGGCTCTGTCCTTCAGTAGGAGACTTCAAAATGGCCCCCACCTTCAAACCAAAATGCCTTTCTAAATCTACATACTGCCCAAATTTGGGGGGGCTCCCTTTCTCTGTGTCAGACTGCTCCAGGTTTTTAAATCTCTTTGAGAATGAGCCCTGTTTATTTCTCAGTAAGTGCAGTATCTAAACAATCCTTAAATACTACCTCCTTGCTTCCAGCCTCTGAAGTGGAAAGTTTCAATGCTCTTGGCCTCCAGCTGAGCCTCCACGTGGGATTTCTGATCATGGTTCCTCATGTCTTTACAACAAGACATCCTTCCTGGGCATCAGAAGGCAGGGTGGTAGTTTAAAATTGAAATCTATTCCCCTCCTCTTGGGCTTAAATCCATTAGACAAATGCCATCCAAGACAGTCTTGTTTGGGGGCACCTGGGTGGCTCAGTCAGTTGGGCATCTGACTCTTGATTTCGGCTCAGGTCATGATCTCAGGGTCAGGAGATGGAGCCCTATGTTGGGCTCCGTGCTCCGTGTGGAGTCTCCTTGAGATTCTCTCCCTCTGCCCTTCCCTCTACTCTCTCTCTCTAAAAATAAATAAATAAATAAAATCTTAAAAAAAAAAAAAAAAGACAGTCTTGTTTGACCAGCCAACGAATTCACCTCTTTCTAAATAGAATAGTGGGGAGAAACATTCACTAGAATGACAGTTTCATTTTTTTCCTCACATAGCCACTAAAAGAATTTTGAAAAATTATGTAACTGCACCCTACCGTTTTTATGTTGATAACTCTTTTTTTCCAATATCAGTTTAAATATTTGAAATGATTTGTAAGTTCTGGTGCACTGTGATTGTTCCATTGCTCGCAAATGTTTCTAGCCTTGGCGATTTGATTCTCTTATCAATTTACAAGATATGTAAGAAGTTTCCTTTAACAGAAATTTTACATCATTCCGTTTATCCTGGACTCATATTTCCATTCCACTTCCTGCAGAGAATTTTATACCAAGATAATATATTTCAGGCTTGGAATCCTATTATTGATCGTTCTACCACATGTCTGTGCAAGAAAAATATTTATATAAATTGGAATTTAAATTGTTCTTCCCAAACTTGACTTTACTGTGATATTCTTTGTAGACGATTTCTGGGGGGGAAAAAAAGTTTCTTCTGGATTGGATTACCATAACAACCAATTATTCCTGCACAATTAATCAAAATAAAATAAATAAAAATTTTGATGAGTGACTTTTAGACACAAATGGTAAAATGTTTGAGGACACGTATCTCTTGATAAAACTACTAGGACTTGTTGTCCAGTTAGGTTATGAGTCCATAGATAAATATTACTCATTGCTGGAATCAAAATAGGGCTGAACATCACTTTTATTTATATTTTTGTTTTCTAGATATGAGTACCAAAAGCCATATCCCCATATAAATAAAGTATATGGAAGTGGAAGGAGTCACATTATGCAAGTGGCAATGAATTTTTGAACTCCTTCCAAATTATGCATCCAAATCACACAGTTACATATCATCAAAAATGATTTTAATAATATATCAGCCAATAACTTGATTTGGTGCTCCTTCAGTTTTGTTGAAATTAAGGAATGGAAAACCATCCGATTTCCAAGGGGATTTGTTACCAACTCATCAGAACCACCCTCCTTCCCCATTTCTGGAATGTATGTCAAAAAAGTTTTATCAAGACTTACCAATGATTATTAATTGTACCCACAATTCTTGACTCTTAGGGACGTTGTTGAATATATCCTCAGAAAAGGTTGGAAAACAGAGATATTATTCATTTACGAACATTTTTGTCACTTCTCTACTGGTGTGCTCCTGGCTTTGAACTCCAGGGACTCCCTCTCAGGGAGAAGACATAATTGTGGGGTGTGGAAGAGGTCAGATCCTTGGGCCTCCTGGAACTTTTGAAACCCTAAAGTGATGTACCCTGGTAGGACTGGGGGAGAGAGGTACTCTTTCCTATTGTAAAGGGCAAAGGGTGACTAGGAAGTGGGGAGAATCAGCAAGATGTCTCCACTCCAGAGACATTCTCAGCTGCTCCATTTTTTCATTGCAATCTCATTAACATAGAACATTTTATTTGTTTCAGGTGTACAACATAATAATCCGATATTTGTATATACGGCGGTCAGCTGATCCACTTACGAAGGAAGAGATAAGAGTGGAGCCTGGAATTGATTCCCTCAAAACCAACCATGCTTATGACCCCTTGGGAATACTTAATGGCCCTCTGGAAGTCTGTGTTTTCCAGTTGGAAAGGGCACGCCTCGAGGGCATGCCACCAAAATCCTTAATATCCATATTTGTTATATGTTTTCTTCAAGGTAAATACATAATTACCATTCATAACAAGTTCTGTGTGACTTTTTGGCATCCTTTCCTTGGGAATGATGAACAATGCTCACAGAATTTATCTTCACTTGTCTCATGAGAAGGAAAAATGGTCATATTCCTGGCTCCCGAGGAATTTCTGCTTTCCATGGAGTGTACCCTGAAAACACCCCCCATAACAACATCTCCACGTGGTTCCTGGATGAATGACCCCAGTTGTAGACATGAAATCTCCAACTCCTCCCTTCCAACATCAGACTCCGGTTCCATTAGTGCTGATGCTCCTCCCTAGGGAATCCTAATAAAGTATAGCACCCGAGCCAGACCCTGAGGGTAGCCTGCCCAAGCTCCTCATTCCACACGACGTTTCTCACTTGGCAGCTACCATTTGCTGCTTGACCTTTCGGGCGACATAAAATCCCGGCCACCCTGCGCCACTCTCAGTGACTCCCGACAAGATTGGAGCCAAGCTGATTTATGTGCACTCCTACCTCAGTGATTGCCCGAACCTGTGTATTTTATTTTATTTATTTTTAAAGATTTTATTTATTTATTTGACAGAGAGAGACGCAGCGAGAGCAGGAGGTGTCTCCAACACCTTTGCTATAGATCACCAAAGCACGATTGGTATACTTGGATACTTACTGAAATCACCTGCAAGCCTTAAAAAATACTGATGCTTAAAAAAAAAAAATACTGATGCTTGAGACTTGCCCCCCCACCCCTAAGAGCTTCTGTTTAAGAGCTCTTGGGTCTCCTGTCCTAGATGATTATAATGTGCAGCCAAAGTTGAAAATTACTGCACCAGAGGGGTTTTTTAATGTAAATTTGATTATGCCACTCTCACTTTTTTTTTCAAAGATTTTATTTATTTATTTGACACACAGAGAGAGACAGCAAGAGAGGGAACACAAACAGGGGTGAGTGGGAGAGGGAGAAGTGACTGAGCCACCCAGGAGCCCCTACGTTACTCTCACTCTTAGTATCTTAAAGCATCTCAGTGGTTCTCAAAGTGTGGTCCCCCAGACCCACAGCTTCAGCACCACCTGGAACTCGTTAGAAATGCAAATGACCTGACTTAACCCCAGACCTATTAAATCAGAAACTCTGGGCATGGGATTCAGCAGTCTATATTTGAACAAGCCCTCCAGGTGGTCCAAACTGGAGAGCCTAGTCCCCTCGCCGAGTCCCACCAATAGAGTACTCAGTCTATAGTCTGCTTTCTGTTATTATGGTTTTACGTTTGTTAGAAAAATATTTAAAATCAGATCATCTCACGTAATCACAGTCTTTATATATCCAACCTTCTGGTGATTTTCAAACCTTACTGAGTAAGAGCAACTCTCTGAAAAACTCGTCGTAAATGGAGATTCCTGAAGACATCCCCAGAGATTCTGATTCGGTAACTCTGGGCGGAGCTCAGATGGGCTCTTTTTTAAAAGCACCACAGCTGGGGGCGCCTGGCTGGCTCAGTCAATGGAGCATGCGACTCTTGATCTCCGGGTTGTGGGTTCGAGCCGCACGTTGGGTGTAGACATTACTCAAAAATAAAATCTTAAAAAAAAATAAAAGCACTTCAGCTGATTCTGATTGTCAGGAAAGTGCCCACCAAAGAAAGAGCAGGGACGAATTTAACTCCTGATGACCAGGTGGGCCAGTCTGTGAGTTAGTTTAAGAGAGGACATCTGGGGGTCTGCTTCACCATTTCCCTATGTGGGTGAAAAACAAAGCCCGAGGAGGAGACATGCCCTTCAGCATTATGGTAATTTGTGAAAATACCTGGTTACTCAAACATATTGCCTGGGTTTTTTTTATTTGCATTTTTGAAAAAACAAAGCAACAGGAGAGAAGGCATGTGAGGTCGTTAAATGTCAAGCAAGTGAGGCATACTTTAAAAACTTAAAAAAGAAGAGCAAGAGATTTCTGTTTAAACAACTTGAGAATCAGGCTCCAGTGATTGGAGTTGTTTCCTCAAGTCACAACGGGTTTGTTTTGGAAGCCGAGCAATGAGGGTGAGGTAAGGATCAATGCTCTATATTTTTATTTTTTATTTTTTTGGCAGATCCAGTTGTTACAGCAGACTTTATCCATGGAATTACCTTTACATCTTGGTCAAAATCAGTTGCTTGTAAATATGCAGGTCTATTTCTGAGCTCTGTTCTGTTGATCTCTGTGTCAGATCTCTCCCTGCTGCCAAACTGTCTTGACTAATGGAGCTTTTTCGTAACTCAGTTACTGTGTCAGTTCTCCAACTTTTTTTTTTTTTAAATGATCCTGGCTATTCTAAGTTCTTGATATTTTCACAGACATATTAGAATCAACTTGTCAGTAGCTACGAAAACAGCCTCCTGGCACTTTGATTGGGGTGTTGAATCTTCAGATCGATTTGTAGAGAATTGATAACACTGACTATTAACATTCAGAAACAGAACTCTCCATTTGTTTAGGTCTTTTAAAATTTCTTACTGGGAAAAAAAGCAAGGTTTTTTGGTTTTCAGGGTGTAGCTCTTACACATAGTTTGTTAAATTTGCCCCCAAATATTTCTTGTTTTTTGATGCTGATTATATTGGTAATAGTATTTTTAAAATTCCTGTTTTAATTCAAAATTTGCTAGCCTATATAAATTGCTCTTCATGTATTCACCTAGTATCCAGTGACCTTACTAACTTGTATAATAGGTCTAAAAAGTTTTTTTGTTGACGTGTTAGGATTTTACATGTAGACATGCTGTCTGGGAATAAAGATCGTTTCACCTCTTCACCTCTTTCTTTCCAATCTGTCTTTTTTTTCATGCTTTATTACGGTGACTAGAAATTTTTTTTTGAGATTTATTTATTTATTAGAGAGCCTGTGTGTGCACGCATATGCTCAAGAACATGGGGGGAGGGACAGGGGGAGAGGGAGAGAATCTTCAAGCTGACTCCCTGTTGAGCCCGATGTGGGGCTGGATCCCATGAGATCATGACCTGAGCTGAAACTAAGAGTCCGACACTTAACCGACTGAGCTCCCCAGTGACTAGAAATTCGAATACAATGTTAAGTAGAAGTGTTCCAAGCAGGCATCTTCTTCCTGCTCTTAGGGGAAGAGAATTCAGTCTTTCACCATTAAATACGATATTAGCTGAAGTTTTTTTTAAGGTAGTCATTATCAGATTCCGGTAGTTCCCTTCTATTCTGCTTTGCTGAAAGATTTTTACCTCTTGTGGGTATTGAATTTTGTCAGATGCTTTTTCTGCGCCTGTTGAGATGATCCTATGGTTTTTCGGCGTTTGTATATATTATTGTTGGTGTTGATGTTCTAGCAGCTTTGCTTGGGTAAGAGAAATTACCTTCTGACTTGAGAGGCAATTTAAAAAATGGAACGATCGTTTATGATCAAAAAAACCTCTTTGTGTCATAGACTATTTCCCTCTGATGTGCTTCATGGCTTTAAACTATTGCAGTGGATTAAAAAAAAAAAGTTGGATTTTCCTTTCATCTATGCTAATGCTTTCCATTAGGAATCAATGAGATTGGGTTATCCAAATTTAGTCCTGGCATTTTGCTAGGCAGAATAATGAAATGCACTTTTTTGCTAGAGAGGAAAGGGAATTAATGTTGATTAAGAATTCACTATTCTTAGATAAGCTCTCTGTGTGTAGTTTATCATTTAAAATTGTCCTCATATAGACCCCGTACGTAGCTAAGAGTCCTCTTCATTTTTCAAATGAGATAGACTCAGAAACATTTACTCATACATTGAATCAGACTCATGCATTTTTTAGTCTTAAAAACAATTTTAAAACATTACAGAAGATTTGGACAAAGGAAGTAGTGAATCGCTCATTATCTCAGTGCCCTTATGCAATACATGTTTTTGGGAATAGATGTTGATTTTCTTTTTCTTTTTTTTTGCTAAATATCAGTATGAAGAGCCATTTTGTTAAATGCTTATATATATTCTTCTAATACTTTCTACTTACCCAAGTGTATAGGGGAGAAGTGTCAGTAAAACATCTGGTATTATATCAGGCACTCGATATGAACCAATAAATAATAGTTATTTTTATTCTTATCTCTATTTTGTGTCTTGAGCACAGTATGGTCTCCCCGAAGGTACAGGCCGTGTTCTCTATAGTAGTCATCATAGTGCTGAATGGGAGCTCTGGGTTTTAAGAAATACTGTGGGATCAGTGACTGGTGGATGAACGAACTAACCCAGGACCTTAGTTCTGCAGAACAGGAACACAATCTGTCCAGCCCAATCATGAAAGAGAAGGTAGAGGAGGAGGGGGAGGAGTAAGAAAGACTGTAATATTCTGGCGATGGTAACAAACAGAATTTTGGAGCTCATAATATTGCCCGTCACTCAGAATACTAAAATCAGGGTAAAGGAAATGCTCAGCTGGTCGTAGGAGCAGAGCATTGTGGGTGTGGCTTCATGTTCCCAACTCATTCCCAGACAACTGCTGCTCCCCAGGAAATTCTCAGTCCCGACCCACCAGTGAGAGTCCTGTTTTCTCCAAGGAGGAGGAGGAAGAACATGGCACAGTGGGAAAACAGGTGGAAGGCCCTCTGAAGGGCCTGCATTTGAATCCTGATTCAAAGGCATTTTTAGGATGCTTTTTGTGGCGAGTTAAATAAAAATCAGAGCACCCCAAAATGCTCTCAGTTGGTGTACCAATAAGGTAATTAATTGCTCATTTCACCTAATGGGTCTTTCAAAAGCGAGAAGGGCTTTGGAGGTGCTGGGACGCCATCGAGAACGTAGGTCCTGTCATCCCTCCATTCTTCTACCTTTGTGTGAGCTTCATCGGCAGACCAGCAGCTAGGCGGCCATGCCGTTCCCACACCTAACATTCACATACAGCAGTGACTGGGGGAAGAGAGAGACTATGTATCTCTCAATTCTTTCTCAGGACTCACATACTGTTTTTCAGGAGGCCCTTGGCAGGCATCACAACAGAACTGGACAGAATTGGGTGGAGAGTCTGCTCCTAATCCAATTGCCTGCAAGGGAAATGCATCATCACAAACCCGCCAGGTGTCCCCTGGACATGGAAC